TATAATAGGGTTTTGGGGGCTCGTTACCATAACGATAGCAAAATATACCCCAAAAAACTTTATTCTAATTATTATTGAGGCCCCTATATGAATGGGGTTAAGGAAACCTCCATAAGCCTAAACATCTGAGCCGAAAGTCCCCTCCCTCAGCCAAGCAGCAAGAGGTAAGACCCCGAATCATACTGCCCAAGTGAAAGCCCTAAACCCCCAAAACCCTAANNAACCCCTAAACCCAAAAGCCCCAAACCCCTGAACCCAAAACCCCCCAAACCCCTAAACCCCTCAATCCCTAAAGCCCGAAACCCGAAACCCTAAACCCCACAACCCCGAAACCCCTAAACCATAAGTCGCACCGGCCTCTTCATGAACGCGAGAAACCGCTTCAGTGGCACTCTCATTTCACAGTTCTCGTCCATGGCCTTCAGAGGGCGAAGGCTTTGAACCCTAAACAGTAAAAACCCGAAACCCGAAACCATAAAACCTTGATTCGGTGTTGAGCTTGGGGTCTGGAGACTGGGTTGCGGTTTTTGGGGTTTGGAGATTGGTGTTTACAGGGTCTATAGGCTTCAGGGCTGAGGGCTCATAGAGATGGAGTTTGAGGTTAAACGTTTAGAGTTGACCCTAAACCCTAACCCTGAAGTACCTTACCTTCTCGTAGGGACTTATAGAAGGAAAGCATGATGAGGACAAGAATGCAGCTTTTATGGCGTCCAGGTAGGGTTTAGGGTTTATAGATGTTTAGACAGTTTGGGGTACATGGCTTAGGGCTTATTAGGGCTTGGGGTTTAGGGCTTGGAGTTTAGAGTTTGGGCTTGAGGTTTTGTGTTGGGGATCAAATTTGGCCTATATAGACTGAGGCTTATGACTCTATCGGGCCACCATCCCTAAACCCTAAACCCTAAACCCTAAACCCTAAACGCTAAACCTTAGATCTGATAGTGCTTTCTTACAGTGTTTCTTGCAAGTTTCTTTCTCCGGCCAGCAAGACCTTAGGCTAGGATCAAGTACCTCACAAGGCAACTAACAACCAATAACTATTTGGGGGACGATAGTATGGGAACAACAACTAAGCAGCCAGGGTTTAGGGTTTAGGGTTTAGGGTTTAGGGTTTAGGGTTTAGGGTTTAGGGTTTAGGGTTTAGGGTTTAGGGCTTAGGGAGCCTATCCTTTTGTGAGGATATGAACTAAAGACCGTGCAGATACTCTTGTGGCACCAATCTAGGATGGGAGGAAGCCCTAAACCCTGAAGCCCCAAAGCCGACAATGTCCTATACAGCCCCCAGATCCGGAAACCTAAACCCTGAACCAGCCTAAGCCCCATGCCCTAAACCCCAAATCCCTAACCCTACACCCTCACCCCTAAAACCCTGGATAGTTTATCCCTATGCACGATATAACCATAATACCCCGAGGTTTGACTTCGGTGCACAAGGGATCTCAGCCGGTTCGGGGCTCCCAGAGAACCCAATACCCCTTAATTGAGGAATACACCTCGAATCATAATGTTAAGGCCCCTATAAGTTTATATTCCCTAAACCGTAAACCGTAAACCCTAAATCCTAAACCGATAGGCCTTATCCAAGGGGTATTGATTAAGCTCTCTGAGTTTAGGGTTTAGCGCGGGTGTAGGGTTAAGGGTGGGCTTAGATGGGCCTAAGGTTTAGGGCTTACGGCCTGTGGAGTCTATGGCGGTCTTTGAGGGCTAAGTAGGAGTTAGGATTAGGATTTGGGTTTTGGGGTTTAGGGTTTTGGAGATAGGATTTGGATTTAGGGTTTAGGGTTTCGGGCTTAGGGTTTCGGGTTTGGGAGTTGGGACCCTTGGGGATAGAGACCCTCTCAATAAGGTCCCTTTTCAGGAGAGCCCGAAGTAGGCTTAAGCAGGGTCCCTTTAAAGGGGTCTCCCTTATACTACCTAGGATCTAAACCCTCATCGCAACCCTAAATACTCCTAAACCCCAAAACTCCCTACACCTTAAACCCTTAAACCAAGAAATGCCTAAGAAGGGTCAAGAAGTGTCCCTTCATAGGGGGTCTCCCTAGTTCTACCCAGGATGTCTGCTTTCTTCAGAAGTTCTTGTGGCTGGAGCTGGCTGAGGTCTCTCGCCTTTTGCTGACGTAGGGGCCTCAATCATTAGAATAGGGTTTTGCTGTAAAGTATACTATAACCAAATAAGGAACCCCCAAAATAGTATAGGTAAGTATTTGCGCTGTTATATTATTGTTGGCTCGAAACCCTAAACCCTAAACCGTCACGGCTTCCATGCGAGAGTCGGCCTGGATTTGGAAGACACACGCAATGGAGCTTCGGTTGAGGATATAAACCCTGCATTACCCAGAATAAGGAAGATACCGGAATTCCTAAAGTTTAGGGTCCTTAACTTAATGCAGGATTCATATCCTTAAGGAATATACCGTAATTCCTATAGTTTAGGGTCCTTAACTTAATGCAAGATTCATATCCTTAAGGAATATACCGTAACTCCTATAGTTTAGGGTCCTTAACTTGATGCAAGATTCATATCCTCAAAGAATATACCGTAATTCCTATAGTTTAGGGTCCTTAACTTGATGCAAGGTTCATATCCTCAAGGAATATACCGTAATTCCTATAGTTTAGGGTCCCTAACTTAATGCAGGATTTATATCCTCAACAGTTTCTCCAGTTCCGTGCTTTGCACTTCTTATCCGGCTGCAATGCCATGCCGGCACACGTCAGAGGCATGCTCATCTGAACACTCCCAGCGAACCCAATACCCCTTAAATAAGGAATATACCTTAAAGGATAGGGGCCTTAGTCCCTTAAATAAGGAATATACCTTAAATGATAGGGGCCTTAGTCCCTTAAATAAGGAATAGACCTTAAATGATAGGGGCCTTAGTAGTATGATTTAAGGTATCCTATATTCCTTAATTAAGGGGTTTCGTGTATTGGGCTCGCTTCGCTTCTCCAGAAAAGCTTCTGAGCTTGCTGGTCCACCATGCTTGGACGTCGCTGCCTCAGCTCAGCAAACTCGGCAGACTCCTGCCGGCGCATCTGAGTAGTCCTTGATACCAATGCAACACCCAAAGGGTCCAAGTTATAGTATGGTATATACTTTTGGGGCCCAAATAGCTACAAAGTAGCTACCATATTAATATTTGGACCCTTTGGGACATGTCTTCTGAACAGGCCCCTAAACTCGATCAACCCTGCAAGCCCTAACATTCGCGCTCCTACAGCCGCACCCCAAGCTCTATACATCGAGCCTCTAAACGACCTAGTAACTACCCATAAACCCCATAGAGGTTAATTTTTGTGGCTTATATTTAGGATCCTATTCAGGAACTACTATCGGGCCTATGGGTAAGTTCCCGTGCCCTGAGACTCCGAAAAACATCATGCAGACTTTGCTGTCTGTAAAACCCGTCTCTCCGTATGTGTTAACATATGTTGATCACTATACAATCGGAACGACTATCAATAGTATTTGTCGTGTAAACTTTGATTGACCCCAAACCCCTAGTATAATTATTAGTGTCCGATACTAGATCCTACCTGTGACCCCACACCCTACAAAATAGTATATTATGACCCCTCAATCAGAAGGCAGAACCTCTAAAACGGTAGGTTTTTGGAGTCCCAGGTAGACCCTAGAACCCCAAACCCTAAACCCTAAACCCTAAACCCTAGACCCTAGACCCTAGACCCTAGAACCCTTGTAGGAACCCTGGAGCAACCTTGAAGTAACCCTGTTCTAATCCTTAATGCCCCTGTGCTGAGTCCGGGAACCCTTATCGTAACCCTTCAAGGAACCCTATTCCGACTAATACTAAGGTGCCAATAATATATATATATATATACATACATACATACATATATATATATATATACATGTATATATATATATATATATAGGTTGTACATTAGGCCATTTCCGATTGGGAGTGGCAGTTGTTGTAGATGAGTGGGCACTCGTAGTAAGTCTATATATATATATATAGGTATAGATAGATAGATAGACAGATAGATAGATAGATAGATAAACACTTTGCAACCTCCTGACCTTGGAAAACCCGTTAAAGACCTGAAAGAAACTCTTCGAGGCACCCTATTCTACCCTAAGGGTCCATGTACCCAAATAGTAGAACATAAGCCCTAAAGTATCCATATGGGGACTACATTAAGGCCAATGTTCTACTATTTGGGCACATGGACCCTTAGGGCTACTTATTGGTGACCTTATAACAACGCTTTCCAAGACCCGTAGAGAAACCGGGCTTACCCTTAGGCCCCATAGTAGTTCCTTTTTGGGGTTCATATTTAGACTTCTATAAGGTAATCCCAAAAAGGCTGAAAAGGAACGTGACACTAAAGACCGTTTAGGGTTTAGGGTTTAGGGTTTAAGTAGAGAAACCCTGAAAAGGAACGTGACACGATTCTAACGATCAGCAACAGGAGGGTTGTTGGAGGGTTTGGCGGGCGAGGCCTTCCAAAGTTGGAAGAGCGCTTCGTCAGACAAGTCCTGCGGCGCAGCTGGCTTCAAGTACCAAGGGAAAGAAATCGTATCCCAGACCCCCAAAAGGATCTAAAAATAGATCCCCTAAGGGGGTTCCTATAAAGTACCCTTCAGTAGTTAGTGTCCCTAATTAGGGGATCTATCTTTTAGATCCTTTTGGGGGTCTGGGCGTCTGGGATAGGGCTTATGAGGTTTACGGCTTAGGCCTTGGGGTTTCGGGCTTTAACATGATGTTGATGTTACTTTGAGAACTTTGTGCTGCCACAATTAGCTTGAGGTACCTGTGTATCCACACGTACACACACACACACACGCACGCGCACGTAGGTGCATACACACGCAAATGTATCCCGAACCCAGTTTTCGGAGAAAGTCGGCAGCCGACAACGGTCTTGCACTGGCACATCCGCCACCAAAGTTAAAGACGCTACAGCTGGAACTCGGAGAACACAGCTCTGAGAGCTCATCTGTAGAAGTTCGCACAGGTTCTGCAGGACTCTGTCCAGGATGCCCGGCATGAGGCCCTCCTCGCTGACAACGTGCATCGTGACTTCTCCCTAAGGCTCTAAGTACCCACATAGTAGATATTTTGGGGCCCAAAGTATCTACCATATAAGTACTTAGACCCTTTGACTTCTGTGACTCCTGGATGGCGCTGGGTCGCCGGGTCTTTGGTCTCAGACCCCCAAAAGGATCTAAAAAATAGATCCCCTAATTAGGGACCCTAATTACTAAAGGGTACTTTATAGGAACCCTCTTAGGGGATCTATTCTTTAGATCCTTTTGGGGGTCTGGGTTGGCCACTCCCTTGAAGCCCTTACAGTTCTTCCGCATGCATCCCTCCAGACTCCCTGTCACAAGTAGCTCCGAGTCCTCGTTTACAAAGGACATCTTCTGGCACTCTTTGCATATCTTGCCCTAAGGGTCCATGTACTCATATAGTATATACAAAGTACCTATATAGGGACTACTTTAAGGCAGTATATACGATTTGGGCACATGGACCCTCAGGGTTGAGGACTGTCCAGTGGCCTCGAAAAAAGCATCTTTGGCCAGGCCATCCTGATCGTGGTCTGCCGGGTTCCTCAGCCCTCATTTGCGAGTTCCCGAAACAAAGGGGGTACCTTATTTTGGAGTCCTTATAATAGGGGTCCTACTATTTGGGGTACTATATGAGGGTCCCCTATTTAATTTTTGGGAACCCCCATTTAAAGTTCCACGCACATGATCCTTAAGCTCAATCAGCGAGTTTGTGCATAATGCATACATAAATACATCAGAGGTAAAAAAAGGTATGCATGGATAAGCGTATGTGTATAGTGTGTATGTGGATGCAGGTGACGCTGTATATCTTTGTGGCGTATGGATTCGAAACAAGGCAGTAGCACTTGACGTCGTACGTATTCCAGCGACAAAAAAGCTGAAATAAACCCAGCTCTGGACAAGAGGGTTAGGGTTTGGGGTTTTGGGTTGCGGGGTCCTAAAACCCTAATAACCTTGACCCTAATCGCCTAAGACAGAAAGACCCCGTACAGGAACCCCTGCAGATCCCTTAAAGGAGCCCTTCTAGAACCAAATACAGGAGCTCTTATAGATCCCCTACAAACTATAGATGCCTGACTGAAAGGATCTCCTATAGATCCGCTACAGAGGAGCCCCCATAAATCCCTTGAAGGAGCCCCTATAGATCCCCTACAAAGTAGCCCCTATAGATCCCTTAAAGGAGCCCCTATAGAGCCCCTCTAGATCCCTTAAAGGAGCCCCTATAAATCCCTTAAAGGAGCCCCTATAGATCCCCTACAAAGGAGCCCCTAAAGATCCCCTAAAGGAGCCCCTGTAGATCCCCGAAGAAAGGAGCCTTGAACCCGAAACCCTAAACCCCTACCCAGACCCCCAAAAGGATCTAAAGAATGGATCCCCTGCGGGGGTTCCTATAAAGTACCCTTTAGTAGTTAGGGTCCCTAATTAGGGGATCTATTTTTTAGATCCTTTTGGGGGTCTGGGTATAGATCCCCTATTAAAGGAGCCTTGAAAAGGGACCCTCACCACTGCCTGTGCCGAGAGCCGGAAGCCATAGAAGCAGCCGCGCACTGCTCGCTTGAGGTCGTCAAGCGTGATGTAGCCTGTTAGGGTTTATGGGTTAGGGTTTCGGGCTCCAAAAGGACCCTCAGCCCTAAACCCTAAACCCTAAACCCTAAACCCTCAGCCCTAAACCCTAAACCGATGATAAGTCTGCCTTATGGCTTGCAAAGCCTCGGGGATTACGAAGGCAGCAGGTTAAGGGTTTACCTCGGAATCCCAAAACCTATGGTTTTAGGGGTTCTACCCTCTAATTGAGGGGTCATAACCTACTATTTTGTAGGGTTTGGGGACACAGGTAGGGCTTAGAAAGGGTTATTGGTTTCGAACTTCGTAAGTCAGCTCCAGAGTCTCGATTTAGGGTTTAAGGTTTAGGGTTTAGGGCTTAGGGTTTAGGGTTTAGGGTTTAGGGGTTTGGGGGTTAAGGTTTAGGGCTTAGGGCTTAGGGTTTAGGGTTTAGGGTTCAGGGTTCCGGGTTTAGGGTTTAGGGGTTAGGGTTTAGGGTCTTTTTTTGGGGGGGGGGGTTAGGGTTTAAGGCTCAGGGTTTTGAAATGCTGACACCCCTTCTGAGGCCTATGCTACGGTTGATGATCTGAACCCTGCAGTACCCCTGATGCGGAATACTCCGTAATTCCCATAGTTTAGGGTCCTAGGGAAATTTACCGTAGTTCCCATAGTTTAGCTAGGGTCCTTAAGGTAATGCAGGATTTAGATCATCAACAGTATGGCCTATACCTCTGGGGCCTGGGGGCACCACATGCGAGCATTCTCAAAGTCTTCCCAAACCATCAACAGTATGTCCTAAAAAAGATAGGTTGTTGGGGGCTAGGGTTCATGAGCAACCGCCAACCCAACGCTCGACACCCTTACAAATTATATAAACCTTCACCCCTACACCCCCCCAGCCCACAATTCTCAAGCACAGACCGTCAACCCTCGACCCCAAACCCTAAAACCCCCAATCAAAACTCAGAGTCCTCAACCCTAAACCCTAAACCCTAAGGTAACCAAACGGGTCGACAATCCTCTCTCATGTTCAAACTTCTCGACTCGCGCACACTAACCTGAAGCTTCCTCCAGCGCTCGGAAGGCTTACTGTAGGGGCCCGTGTTCCTTAAAGGGTTCTTTATAAGAGCGGGCTACTACAAAGGTTTAGGGTTTAGGGGCATTGATAATGCGAATAGGGTTTTGGGCTCCTTTCTCGTATACTTACAATAGGCTTAAGGAGCCCTTAAGGAATAAGACTCGTAACCCTAAACCCTATAGTATACAAACCCTAAACCCTAAACCCTAAACCCTAAACCCTAAACCCTAAACCCTGAACCCTAACCCCTAAACCCCTAAACACCTATGAAAACCCTTAAACCCCCCCCTGACAAGAACGAGGGTTGGGTCCCTGCCAGAAATCCAGGACATTAAACCGTGACATTACCCGAGGACTCCTAGCCTGGGCTTTCGGTTGGGGCTTCGGCAGGCGATGTTTGCCCTACATCGACCAGACTTACGAAATCATGCCTGTATTGGGTTCGCAGTCTATCAAGGATGCCTGCGTTAAGTGATCTATATAAACATATATATATATACATATTATATATATATATATGTATATACATAGTTATGAATATAGATACATATATATATATATATATAGAGAGAGAGAGAGAGACAGAGAGCGGGCCCCACAGCCTCCTCTTCTATATATATATATATATATGATAGACCCTAAAACCTTAACCCTAATATGGATAACCGGGGCTCGGAAGAAGCATTTGCGGCACCAAGGGATTTCAAGATTCGTGATCTGCCTCGCTGCTGCGTGTCGATCTGCAGAAAGATCTTGTACCTGGGTGAGGTAACGGCCCCGATGTGTATGGGTTATGTTCTTTTGTTTAGGGTTTAGGGCGTTTAGGGTCTAGGGTTAGATCATCTGTGTCAACTGAAGACTGAAAGGACGAAGCTACGACGACAGGTCTTCTTGTGGTTTTTATGTGGCAAGCACACGGGTGTATCCACTTCGCGGGGTTTGTGTATATATCTATACGGATGTATGTTTATACGCAGGCATACGTACTTAAATAAATGAATAACTGCAGGGTGCAGGGGTCCAGGGCAAGTAGAATGTGGCGCCCGGCGAAACCACCCCAACAAAAAGAACGGAGGCCAGAAGACTGCGAAGCCTGGCAAACACTAAACTCCAAAAACACCGGGCCTGCATAGGCGAAACTCCTAAAACCCTAAACCCTAAACCCCTAAACCCCTACACCCCAAACCCTAAACCTAAATCACTAGACCAAAAGCCCCTTATGCATGAAACTTCAAAGCTCCGATAGAGTCCTGTTTTAAGTACCTAAACCCTAAACCCTAAACCCTTATAGCCTTACAGTAACCCTTATAGAACCCTAAGGACCTATGTATTCATAGCACCTAAACCCTAAACCCTAAACCGTGAAAGCCTTACAGTAACCCTTATAGAACCCTAAATACCTATGTATTGTGACCCTCAAGGGGGCTTTAAACCCCAACTCCAGCTGGGCTGCCAATTCCCAGACGCTTGGTGCCACGTTGCGCCGGCCTGGGGTTTAGGGGTGTAGGGGTGTAAGGGTGTAGGGGTTTAGGGGCTTAGGGTTTAGGGGTTTCGGTGTTGAGGGTTTAGGGTTCTGTTGATAAAATTCTTCGGGTCCGGCTTCGGGCCGGCTGAAGCTGTGAAGCTAGGAGCGTAGCTAATCCAACAGAAATCCTCAACCCATAGCCCAAAACTCACAAGAAATCTTCACGCCTAAACCCAAAACCCAAACCCCAAACCCTACAAAATAGTGGGTTATCCCTCAGTTAGAGGGTAGAACCTCGGTAGCTTTTGGGATTCCCAGGAAAACCCTAACCCCAAAAGAACTTCTCGACCCTGACACAACACACCCGTGCGTAGAGGAGCTCGAATAGAAGGGCACGAGCTGGCAAGATCCTAAAAGGAGTTTACGGTTTGAGTTTCTCTCTTCTTCAACAACCAAGCCAAAAAAAGTTCAAACTTTTCAGGATGGCTCCAATCTCTAGGGCGGGTAAATGGCCACTGCAGGATGCCTTCCGACATACTTGCTGCTCGTGACACAGCGTTACCCGAAAGGTGGTAGCAACATCTACTTATGAGCTGTCGCTACAAGAGGCCTGACCTTGCAAGCGCACAAAACCAGCAGAAAGGGGGCTGCCGGCTGTGCAGTCAGCGCCCCTATACTTACTCAAGCACGGTTGGGACACCGACTGGGTGACAAAGCCATAGATGAGCGAGCAGGCCCCTGCTATCTAAGAGAGAGATCGCGGCATCGGGCGTTAGGACCAGGCGGGGCCAAGTCTGGCACTCCGCTCCACGGTATGATCTCCAGGAACCTCTGCAGATCTCAGGATAGACCTAATATATACGGCCAACAAGTTTTAAGTTCGGCTCTCGGCGTCTTCCCGTGATACTCAAGTTCGCGTCCTGACGCTTTGCTCAAGTGATGGAAACAAACGTGGAACGTGGGTCCTCGTCGAGCGTAAAGGTGGCGTGCTCGTACGGGTCCAAGGCGGCTAGGGTTTTTCTGTCGCCTGGTCTGGCCTTGCAAGGTTGTAAGTTGTAAGCAAGAGTCTGGCTGATACCCACGATCGAGACGCGCCTTGGCGAATGCGAACCAGAGCGCTACCAGGAAGTTCTCGGTAAACGAGAGCCATGGCGAATCCTGCAGGTGTCAGGTTTGCATTCGGAATTTATGTCCGATTCCGTGCCTTCGGGTTCCAAGCAATGTGTTCTGCCACGGTGACATCCTCGTCACCTGCGGCAGTCGCATGCATTTCTTGCGATCTTCATGGGCGTGTAGCCCGGCCTTTCGCAAGACGGCAGTGATGCAAGCTATCGGCCCCGCGCCAAAGCAGTCCTGACGAAAGCCACGGCTTCAAATAATTGCAAGCTTTGCCGCGGCGGTTGGCGCCTGCAGCTATATCCCGATCCTGCCGAGCTTCAATGTACGTCACACGTACATTGAGAGGCTCTCCCCGTATCATGCGGTAGAATTCCTCGTCATTGGCTGCGTGGCAACACGCAAACGCAGGCTGTTGTAAGACTCGCGCTTGCATGGCGGCACAGTGTGCAAGAGTCCACTTGTAGATAAACTGAGAACAGCGGGGTATCTCGGGCAAGCCATGACGCTGAGTTGCTGAGGATCCGGCTCTGTGCTGAATCTGCTCGGCGGTGTTGCCCGCGTTCGCCATCGCGTGCGCGTCTTGAATCACCTGTCAGGCGCTAGATGAAATTCCAAGACACGCACGACATCTGAGGCTGCGACAAGTGCGAGGGAGGCCATGATCACCTCTCCAAAAAGTCTTCTCTGCAAGAAGAAGGTTTGTGTTTCTGTCTGCACCTGAGGAGGCAAGGGAGAGGAAAGCCGAGGGTGAGCGAAAGCAAGATAGAGCCAGAAACGCTGCAAACGGCCCCAAGGGCAAGCTCTGTGTCCATGCAGTGCAGAGAAAATGCGCAAGAATGACGTTAAACTCTCAAATCAAAAGTGCCTGGCTGCCGTTGGTCGGTTTGGCTTACCAAGCCTACACCCCAAAGTCCAGGGTGCTTGGCTGCCGTTGTTCGGTGTCTCTTGTTAAGTCCATACAGAACAATGACAGGCCCTGACTGTCGAGTCTTTCAAAGACGAAGGTTTCGTTGCCAACTACACCCAAAATCCAGGCTGCTTGTCTGCCGTCGGTCGGCTTGCCTTGTTATGTTTATACAGAACAATGGCAGGCCATGACCGTGCAGTCTTCAAAAGACGAAGCTCGCTGCAGAGTTAAACCCTAAATTCAAGGGTGCTGGGCTGCCGTTGGTCGGTATCCTTCACTGCCCCCTTCCCCGCAACACATGTAAGCAAGCCAACGGCAACCAGAGAAGGCAGTATATGCAAAGCGTGGCAAGCTCTCTTGAAGCGTCGCTGACCAACTCGCAGCTGCCAGCCAATCGTCAACAAAGATAAGCATGCACTGATAGCAAAGTATGCAGGCATCAAAGGTCTTCGGCATGCGAGAGTGTGCGGGTGCCTGGATGCAGTCGTGTTACCGGACCGGGTGGAACCCGACAAGAAAGCATGCAAGTGGAACAGAAGGCAAGTGGTCAGTTTCTGCATCAATGCAAGAGGCCGCACATCCACATGAGAAATGCACAAGGCTTGAAGTGTCATGTCCATGTGTTTTGCCACAGACATTACAGGCATTTTACCATGGAGCACACCATGCGTCGCACTTGCCTGCCACAGCCAGCTGGCATGAACTGCAGCAGTTCTGCAATCCAGTGCGGGACATCATGCAATGAATCGACATTTGCACAAGCAAAATTGCGTGTTGAGCCTCAAAGCCCGACCACAACTGATCCAGCATCGACATCAGGTCAGACGCAGTGCACCATCAAGTGCGTATGTAACGAGTAGGTCGGTTTGGAAAACAACAAGAAGTAACCGCCAAAGGCCGAAACCAAAGGCGCGGAGTCGTTAGGATGTGGATATGGAGATGTTTGACACTGTTGCCACCAAGAAAATCTCGGTCTGGCCAGCTTGCTGAACTCAAAGCTACACTACATGAACATAGGCCACCAATGTTTCGCGCGCGCCCCTGTTCCGCCCACCTACCGTGGATTTAGCGGCGGCTGCTCCACTAGTCGGCGTAAGGCAACTCGTGCCTTGAACATGGGCTAACATAAATTGGTGCTCGTGCCAAAAGAAGCAGCACCACGATGGGAATGTACATATGTATCGAAAGGCGCTACTTGCAACA